CACTGTTCGTGCATTCATGTTTTACGCTAAGGTAGAGGTCTTACTTGCGTTGGATATATTAGGAAATATATTCAATTATATATATTTGCAAAAAATAATAGAAATGGTAGAAGTAGTTCCCTAGTTCCAACAGTATTTTTCATAACATCTGCTCTTGGCAATATATTATCTGTCACTATTTATTATTTAATTTTAAATTATCTACTCATATCACATTATTCACCGCTTACCGAATGGTTATATACTAGTCGAATAGGTCCGTCCATCTAGTTTAGCCTTTGAGTCAATTTCCGAGAAATGGCACCTGCAACCCTTATTTACATCTATGGAGTAAACCCAACTTCTGGTTCTCTTCCCATCGGTTTTCTCCACTTCTTGTTTCTTTTCCCATCAGCTCCCTCCACTTCTGGTTCTCTTTCCATCGGTTCCCTCCACTTCTGGTTCTCTTTTCATCGGTTCTCTGCTTCTGGTTCTCTTCCCATCAGCTCTATCCACTTCTGGTTCTCTTTCCATCGGTTCTTTCCACTTCTGGTTCTCTTCCCATCAGCTCCCTCCACGTCTGCCACTTCTCCCATCGGTTCCCTCCACTTCTGGTACCATCCCCATATGTCTTCTCCACGTTTGTTACTCATCCCATTCGACTTCTGGTTCGGCGGTGGAGCTCAGATCAAAGCTGTGTTGGGCTGACAATCTCTGCATGAGGGGTTAACAGAGCGTCCCCTCTGTGCCTTATGGGGTTAATGGGTCGGGATTAATGATGCTTGGGAACGCTTGTTGCCATCCCGCGGGTGATGAACATGACTGTCTCTCATGACACTTTTGTGACAGCGGACGTGATTTCTTGTTGACAAACTTGCAGTTCACAAAATTTTGTTCAAAGGAATTTTCCAGTTCCTTGATTTACTCAATTCAATGCATGTTCACGTTGCCAGCAAAAATGTTCACAGGTTGTTATTAAAAGGCCCGTCAAGATATTTTTAACTATGAAAATTTATTTTGCTCAATTTAAAAATACTCAATTTAAAAATACTCCCCATGGCATAGGCCTGTCCCGGATTTTTAGGATCCAAATTTAATTAATAACGCAAAGCGGAAAAGCCTCTGAAATAACGTCATAATTTATTGCACTACGACGTATAGCGAGTAGTTCCTGGGATACATTTGATCGAGAAGGACTAATATTTAGGCAATGTATTAATTAGAATATTCCTGTTATTTTGGAATATTTTGCATGAATATTCAGGATTTTTTAGTAGCGAGGAAGAACAAGAAAATGAACCATCGTGTTGAGTCCAGCATAGTCCAGTATATACAGAACACATGATAGTCCCGTATAGCAGCGTGCTTCGTTATATGCTACTTCGCTCTGGGCTTACTTAATGCTAAGTTCTGTTTAACGAATTAATGTTGGCACCTGCATAGGTTTGGTTAAGATTTTGTTATACTGTAGTATTTTCTGTTTTATAAAATAATTTTTACTGCATTATTGTTCTGCTACAAAATGTTTGCGATAGGTGTAAGTTCAGCGTTTGTAAAGGACCTCATTCTAATTGCTTCTTTCTTTCTACGGATCTGATCTTGATAAAGCCCATTTACTATATTTTGCCGCTCCTGTGCTTCGTAAATCTTATAATGGGATAATAATATTATTATTATTGTTCAATTAGCTTTATTGAATTCTCGTTAGTATTAATGAACAGTTATGTCGTTCATGTATTAAATTCGTTCTTTCAAAAAATTATTTGTGAAAGATATTTAATTTCCAACCTCGATACGCAAAGCAACATTCACAAAACGAATTTTTTATGCAGAGTTAAACTTCTTGAGCCTTTTCTATACCAAAGTAATTGAATCCGATATTTTTATATTTTCCAACTAAATAATGGGCTTTCTCATTTCATATTACCGTCTTAATTTACTAGCTAACACACGCTCTCTATACTCCAAATTGCATATTATATTATTTTTAGTGGTGCTCCATAGTCGCACCATTACTGGCCACCTATAAGCCACCGAAAGGCCACCTAAAAAGTTGAGCCACACCGCGCCTACCATATTATAAGAAGACAGCGCAAGCGTCTTGGCCCTGTTCGTCTCGTCGTAGAAGAGCTGCGCATCTTTAAAGAAAGCAGTCGATAAAACGCCTTCAACATCCCGCACGAAAACACCATTTTTTCCGAAGATAGAGACAAGTCGCGGCGCTGTTACTGAATAAAAGACAAGTCTTAAGGGGGAGCCGCCTTGTAGGGAGCTTACTGCACGACTAATGGTCCCGAGCTGCGGGCTGATCAAGAATAATAGACGGCATTCAGTTACATTCGCGTGCTCTAGCCTACGTATCTTTTGATATTAAAATACATCGAATTGCATTCACATACTTGGATTTTTGCGTACTTTTCTGCGTGAGGTGGCAAAGACTCATTCAGTTGTGGTCTACGAATGAATGAAAACGTAGAATGAAAGCAGTAAGTATCAAATTCACATTTCGTAACTTGCGAGCCTTTGCAAATGGTGTATATATGAAATGGGCATTCACTGGCTATGATCTACGTACGTTTATACATGCCCTAGTAACACAGATACATGTACTTACTATATTGATTAAAGTTCATCTGTACACAAGCATTCGTGTGTACAGTGTCATATGTCAGTGTCGTACTTAGTGTGTAGAGTGTCGCAGTGCGCGTATATATTCCCCATGATATAATTAAAATTTAAAAACCTTCTCTGAATTTTACAGAAAGAAAAGTTGTCTTCATTTCCATTTATTCAGGTATATGAGAAATAAGCATGTGAACGGTCAATATTGTTCGTGTCACACATATTATTTGCAGTCAGGCAAGACTTCTTACCGTCCTAATATTCAATCGCTGGTTCATCCGAAAATATCCGAATGTTTCAACAGTAATTTATGTATGCATACGGATGTTGTCCGGGAAAAACTTGTCTCTGGTCTTGTATAAATTATGCCGCAACTGTGAGTCTGAACAGCGTTATAAAGATGAGTTAAAGTTTCAGTAGACCCATGCAGATTTATTCGGAGTTTGTGAATAATGTGTTCCTTTTTTTGATATCATTGACGCACTGTCGTAGCTTTTGAAAGATGTGTTCATATATTATAGTATTTAACAGGAACAACGATTACGATACTACTTAGAGACTCATTAAGTAATTAATTATACAAATTAATACGTAAAGTTTCCCGTCAGGCTTTTGAAAGCCTATTTTCAAGCAATATACGTGAGCTAAATAAGTCTTTTCGTATAATTTACTTATAATAGTTTCAATATAAACCTTCATGCCAGTCTAATACTAAGCGTGTGCTGAACCAGTCCCATCCCTTGCTAAAATTAAGCATATATTGGATAAAGAGTCTGGCGCTCTAATTTTGACCGCGCGCGGATGAGCGCTATAGAGAACTCGAGAGCTCGAGCGCTCAGCTGAAGAGCGCCGCGACCGCAGCAGCCAAAACCCTCGCGCGTAATCCTATTTGTCGCAACAATGTTCCGTTGAGTCATTTTCTGGTTATTTGCTCAAGCGCTGATGGCTGGGGAGCCGCAGGGCTCCCCTAACCCTTCCTCAAACCTGCCTCCCCTCCTTCTTACCCCTCCCCTCCTTCTTACCCCTCCCCTCCGTCTTACCCCTCCCCTTGTACACATCATAAAATACTCTCTTTCTTATCTTGCGTGATCAATATCGCTGCAGCGCATCAGGCATGACTTTACGCTGAGCTTCAAGATGATTTTGTCATGTAATTTAAGGGAGCTTTAAATAAAAAAAATTAAATTTGAAAATGAGACAGGAAATCTAGGAAATTAAATTACTAGTAAAAATAAAAATAAAAATCTAGATTAACAGTTTATGGTGAAAAGAAGTTGATAAAGGAACACACCACCTTCAGATATCAACTCATTTACGCGCGTCATGTCGAAAGAAACATTGAAACAGACAAAGCTGACACGTGATAATCGTGATGATTCTTCATGGCTGATACAGTACATTTCTGTAACAAAGCAAGCTGTGAACAGAAGAGAAGTGGATATTTCTAGTGAAAACAATACTGGCTAGCGGTGTTGTGTTCTATGCACCACCATATGAACGACGCTATTATAAATATTAAGTGGTTTAAGCACAGCTTATGTATGGCTTTCACACGACAAGCGCCGCCGTGGCTACAAATTATGTCCGTATATATGCAGTGCTTAGGCCGTGGAAAACCACGCGGCAACGGTAATTAGGAATTGCTTCACATAATTGCGGCAATGAGACATGGGCTCTCATTTATGCTCTTTTGAGAGTCTTTTGTATAGACCTTCATTTCCAGTTAGAAGGATTATACTGCAGAAAAATCCAAATATCAACATTACTTCGATGCCAGGATTTACTACATTACGATTGTTTTTTTTTATTTTTTAGATTTTTCAGCAAAATTTTTTTGAGAATTCAATAATATTTTCCTGTATCGTTATAGCGGTAGTGTTCATTGAGTGTTCATTGTGTTAGCCGTATTATTGTTTAACCCTGTATACTTAGAGTCTCTGCTATGTTTTCGTTAATAATCGTGGTCAGCATAATCAATATTTACCCTATATTTGTATTTGTACAATAATTCGAACGAAACTAACTCGCAACATGTACTGACGTGATTTCTTTACCTTTTTTTCACGTGATGCACAAACAGCTAAAAAAGCCAACGCTTTCAGCATTTGTTTTTTGAATTTGGAAAACAATGTCATTTATTTCAGAACATTGACTTTATTTTGCAACATTCAACTTAGATAAACTCGCACCAAATCAACAAAAATTTAAATGGATGTTTAAACTGCAAAATATTGTCATCTATACTTGTAATGCACTTTCGTTGAGGCCAACCACAGTACAGGGGGCATACGACTGATTTCGTTAAAGCTTACCCACTCGTTACAACTAAAAATGAAAGCCAAGACTTTTCCGCACTTCAGGAGCAGAAAAATAACTCGTGTTTTGTATTTGTTTTACAGGCTGCACCAACAAGGAGGGTCGTCCTCGACCTCACAGCTCGACACAGAGCCTCGGTCGCCAGGCCTCGACGATGATGACGAAGACCTCATCAACCCTGGGTCCCCGACACCCTTTGAAGAGGATGCGTCTGACGAGGAGACGAGCCTTGGTCAGAGATCGCCCATTTCAAAACTCTCTCAAAGTACAGACGATAAAAATGACAGTACCATAGAATCAGCTCACGGCCACAGCATTACCAGTGACTCAAAAGTAAATGAATTTGAGCGAAGAATGAACTACCCAGTGACGCTGCCTCACTCTGGTCAATTTTTATCTACGGAAAGTCCATCCGGCGATGCATGCAACTCGAGGGCGTTCACCGGTCCATTCGGGAGTATTAATCAATTTCCTGGGGTCTCTTGGGAGGATAAAGCCTCACCACACGAGTTATTCTTTCCTGCTCCGCGAGCACCTTTGCCTCCGGACAGACTATTTCCTATAACATCTGAGTCGGACCAGAGTGCCTTGAAGCTGACAGTCCCCTCGACAATATTCTCACCCTTTACATCAGGCCTTCCTCCCAGATTATCGTTGGCGTTCGGCCCGCCTTTAAATAACTGGTCTCCTTATCCAACGTTCTCGGCTATTAACACTTCTGCAAGTCTAACCTATCCCAGAACTTTCCCTTCTACTTTATCCATTGAATCTCTAATTTCACCTAAACAAAGCAAAAGGCCTGCGTCACCTCTAACTCCTCCGCCTGGTCACTTCGCTTCCAAGAAAGAACTAGAAGACTCTGCACCACCAGGGACGCCTCCATTTAATAAGACTGCCACAAAACCTCATTCTCGGTCCCCCACTTGTTCTCCAGTGACCAAAAAGCATCACGTTGAAAACACGTCCCCTCAGGAGCGACTTTTCCAACCTATCAAGTTAGAGCTTCGACCTGCGACTGATGCCTCGTGACTGGCGGGGCAGTCAACATAGATTGAATTTAATCAAGTCAAAAGAATATTTTTATTGGCAGAACTTAGCAATTAATGAACATCTCATATTCTGCAATGTACATATATCTATGTTTATTTCTCGGTTAAAGAAATTTACACCGAAATGCAGGTTGTTGGTTATTGTATTCTAGGTTGATATAAAGTAGAATTCTGCTATCGACTCCCGCAGGGTGTCGATCCTGTTATCCTTTAAATACGTGCATTTTTACGTATAGTATTGATTGTGTTTTCGTATATAAACAATCGACTTACATAGAAGATTACAGCAAAATCCGTTATAATCTACAAAATTTTTCTTTGACCATTTATCCTGAAAAATGAACAAATATCTTACACCAAAACTGCGATAAAAAAATTATAACTTGTTTTTTTTTATAAAACCATTGTCTTAAATACTGAGCATTTTAAATGAGATGAGAGAATTTAGTGATTAAGATGATTTAATTCTCATTATTCAATCAAGGTAACGATTTATATAAGCGCCGAAGTTTAAAATCATAAAATGGATTCGAATTTATCGATGTTCGAAGGGTACATGCGTTTCGCTAGAAGCTCGCTGCATCGAATTAATTATAACTGCACAGGCTTTCTCTCAATCATGCAATTTCTCTCTTGAATCATGCAACAATGCATATATCAGGATTCATTAATTGATAATATGACGACATTATTTCTTCTGTATTTGTTTTCCAGGATACAATAGAATCCATGGAAGGTTTATCTAATTTTTTTCTTGATAAAAAATAATTTTTCATCAGAACATAAAATACATCAATCTAATTGTTCTAATTTCTTATAAATCGTTTTAATGTAGAACGGTAAAGGAAAATTTCATCCGTATGTTTTTATTATAACAACATGCGTGAATAAATAGCAAACTTCTATTACATGCATTTCAGTTCCCCCTGATTCATGATGTGGACAATAATATTAAACTGCTATATAAATTTATTATCAACTGAAAAAGAAAATATATAAAACAAAAAGATAATTGTTCAAATTAACGGACGAAAGTTTAATTAACGTTCAGCAAAATTGATTATTTAACGAGTACAACACACGTGCTGCCCTTGGAAATCTAAATCCTATACGCCCTATATATAAATATATACATAGTCTTTTAAATATAGTCCTAAATCGACTGTAAAGAAACATTATATCTTTATGTGGGCTCGATAAAGTCTCTCGTCCACTGATGACGAGATGTTGAGAATTATTCCCAACGCTGGAGGTAAACCTCGTCTAGAATAGGACAAGTGCTGATCTTTCTATCTATCAAAACACATCGAGGATGATTCAAGTAATTTAATTATATTTAATCTTTATATGGAGTTCTTCAGCTCGGAAGGTCCCAGTTTATAACGTAGGTCAATTGACAAATAGAACGATTTAAAGGCCCAGGCGGGCACGCTGGACGGAAGCCGACCAGAAGCAGATATACTGTACGAGAAATGAACTGAATTACTAACGCGTTAAGGTCAACCATTGGTCAAATATTTAGATAAGGAAATTACACATAAAGTTCAAGTAAGCTGCTCACCTTGTGTGCACATCCTCAGTAAGTACAGTGCTCACAGAGGCGAGACATATAATAGCGAGAGCGCGAGTAAAAATAATACACAGATAACAATTGCGCCCACACTTATGTCATCTGAAGCCCGCGATACTTCAATAATTGAAAAGTTTCTATACAGTTCCGGGATTATAGGCCACCATAGATAAAGGCTTAACACTTTCGCAATTAAAGTAAGAGGAATTAAATTTAAAAGATGCTGCGTCAACCGAATTAAGTGTCCAGAAGCTACTGGAGTAATGTACTGTTTAAATGGCACTTATTGAAGTTTATCTTCGCAAAGTGAATTTACTTTGATTTGATGTTTATTTAATTCAGGAAACTTACATTAACATTTGGCGGGCGCGAGCCAAAGCGTTCAGAAGAGGTTCGTCGTTGTTCAAGAGGCTCACGGGTTTGGAATTTTTCCCAAAAGAGGAGCATCGTAGAGGATGCGTTACCTGTGAAGGAAGCTAACTTAATTGTGCCTCCACAACATAGCCTACGATGTTAATGAGCATACGCGCTACTGAGTGAAGTCGATGTTGTTGTCCATTCATCCCAAGTGTCGGCCAAAACTTGCTTTCTAAAGCTTCTGAACGGAAACGAAATGAACTTTTAGTTCATTTCATACGATTGGAACTACATAGACTGTTTTTTTTGTCCACTCAAATATATCTCTCCTTCCAGTTTAGGTACTCATACTCGACCGGCAGAGGAAATGAATGGTACGTGGGAATGGCTGCCGTGGTAGGGGATAACTGCAATGGTGCGTTGACTGTCTTCCCTAGATTGTGGGTACACCATCGATCTTTGGTATGTTCAGCTTTAATCGGAGGAAAGGTGGCAAACCCAAGCACGGGAATGGTTGACTAGCTTTGTCACTTGGGCGTACTGTATATATGCGGGATAAGTGAAATCCATTCTTCATAAAATCCGAAGTTTGATGAGAAAATCTTTCTTCATTCAACCGTGGCACGTCGAAAACGAAGCCCCTGTGGTTTCTTGAAATTTTCTTCGCTAGGTCTTGTCCGTCTCATAGATTCAAGCTGTCTAATAGATAAACTAGAAACACAAACTTGAAGGAATATTCTTCCATTGCATCCTGCCCGTTCCCAATACCAACAAACTTTTTGCTCCGGCTGGTCCAGTATGTGGCGAAGACAATCTGATGCCACGGGCTCAAACGACACGAGGACAATTAGGCAAAGCGTTAGTCCCTCACCAGAAGTTCACTAATGTCAGAAACGATGACGGTTTTGTGACAAATATATTTTCTATACAGACGGGCCCCGCATTAATTTTCCGATAGAAGCGTATTCACTACAAAATTAGTGTCACTTGATATGCTACGTTTCTACTGCGAACGGTGACCTCCTATAGGTCCAATCCCCGAAGATCCGGGCATTATCGCCTATCGTAAAATACGTGTAACTCCGTCGGCTTGATTCTTCGGCAGCCTAGAATGTGGCTTATCTCAACAAGTTTTAAACTCCTTGTAGTCGCGTGGGTACAACAAGTTCAATGTAACCTCCCAGTTCCATCACCCCTCCCCGAGCAGCCTCTTGTCCGAACATGAAGCATTGCATTTGTCATCAGCAGACAGCAGGGCAAAGTAGTATAGGTTTATTCTTCAGGGTTCCGCAGGGTGGAAACCGATCGCTTGCTTGGAACATCCGCGTTGGCCATATCGATAAATTTGCGTTCATCAAATCGAACGATGGCGATGAAATTGAGATTGGAAGAACGGACAGACACAGCATCCCAGATCTGATGCAATTAAATTCGTGCCTAAATTGTGGTACTCGGACATTTTTCGATAGGTTAATAGATTTTCGAAGATATATCTTAGATTGAGCGGGCTCATTGTCTGCTCGCTACTGAATGCTCGTCTGTCCTCGGCTTGCAAGGGAATTTTCCTTGAATTTCAAATAGGTAATTTAAATAATTGTTTCCCTAATGGAAACGTGGTGTACAATATTCAGCTATATCAAGTACAGCAACGTTTTTTTTCTTTGTACAAGACTTGCCAAGTAATATTTCAACTGCTGATCAATAATTATTTCAACATTGCATGATCGTGAACCTTCCCAGACAGACGAAATTTCCATAGCTGTAGCAAGAAAAATACACAAATTTTAGTTTCCACAGTTTTTTTGTAAAATGTGCCCAACAAACAGATTTTCATTTGGGAAACAAACATATTACACATAAATTCTTAACTGTTCACGTATGAAAACGATGCTCTATCTACAAAGCAATCTCAACTCTCAATTCGATCAAGACGCACTGTTTGACAACTGACATTAACGGTAATCTAGTCAGCTGAACTATATGTACATTGTACACGTCATTAACGAACAACGTTAAAACAACGTTTAATTAAAGTTATGTCAGTATTAGACGCCTAAAAACAAGCGAGTGGAGTGGTTCTAAGACATGAGCAAGCCAAGCTGAATATGTGAGTAATAACCTGCCAGTAGATTAGGCTGGAAGTTTGTTCAAGAAAGCAGAACTGGTTTGGCTGCTGTCGTCAGTGACAGCCGTGTTCAATTGTTCGTGCTCTGTAACATGGAACGAATCGCAGTCAAGTTCAACGGTACAGATAAGCGAGGCAGCGCCACGAGCGGCGCGCTGAATGTCAACTTGGCTCAATACCCATGGCGAAATGGATGACATTCAGCGGGTGAGTATGCTGATGACGGTTAGCATTTAGCTGGTGAATATGCTGGAGCTATTAGGATATTCAGCTGATTATAATGGAAGGGCTAATTAAAAAATCATATTTTTTGGGTGTACAGAGGGAAAGTGAGGTTGTATAGAACACAGGCGTCATGCATCAAAACTATCTCAGCGACAACAACATCAAAGGCCATGACCAGCAGCATACACCGGAGCAGCCACAGCAGGTGCCACAGCAGTAGCCATAGCAGCAGCCACAGCAGCAGCCATAGCAGCAGCCATAGCAGCAGCCACAGCAACAGCCATAGCAGCCACATTAGGAAGCCACAACAACAGCTAAATTGGCTCTCACATGGGCAAACATGGCAACAGGCATATCTGAAAGCCTCGGCAGCCACATTAGGAAGCTTCAGCAGCAGCCACAACCATAAGCCACACCAGCAGCCACATTGGCAATCACATCAGCAACCACGACAACAAGTCTCAACAGCCACATTAGGAAACTCCAGCAGCAGGTTCAGTGGATGTCACAGCAGCAGCCACAACTGTAAGCCACATCAGCAGCCACAGCAGCAGCAACACCTGCAAGTCCAACAGCAGCCACAACAGCAAAGTGGCTGCGTGGCTGCGAGTCTCATTTGTGGCGTCTTCTCGCGGTCGCCCGCAGCGGCACAGGAAGCCTCGACTCATCGACGCAAAAAAGCCGACTTTCATCGAATTTCCTGCTGTCGCGTATCCAGCCTCGCGAATTTATTGAGTGTCTTTGTGGCAATAATAATGGCCGGAAAACAAACATGCAGGTTGCAGGAGCTCCAGACCATCAATCGGCCGCAGCGCAGCGCCATATTGAGCGCCTCAGGTTCATGGCTCACCGTACGGAGACGGTCAGGCGCGTAAAACAGCTGAATCCCGGAGTATTCAGGAGTATTCAGGAGCATTCAGTAGTATGCGGGAGTATTCAGAAAAATTCAGGAGTATCCTGGAGCATTCATAAATATGCGAAAAAACTAAGACGTTGTCATGAGGTTATTGCTGACTGTTTAAAAGGTGTAGATGAGTCTAAGACTATGTTGAGAAAGAGGAGTTGTCTA